GAGTCATTCCCAGGTTCCAAAATTTTGTTTGATAAGTGTAAATTTACATTTAAATAACGTCAATTTTTTAAAGACGTATATTCGTCTAACGATAAAGAAAATCGCGACCCGCTAGATATTTCTTTTGTTATCTCTAAAACCACAGTTTGTTTAGCTAAATCACATTGTTTTTTTATCATATCCATAACATGGGTTAGATTTTTTGGAAGTAACATGTCTTTGACAACGATTTTCTAATAAATTCACTTTTTATCATAGGATTTATTGAGAAGACATCCACCGTTGCTAGCTTTGACACAATTTCCTCGATAGTCTGCTACTTAACAAACAATGTGATTTTCTTTTTCACAATTTTAATTTCCGAACCAGCATCTTCATGTAGACGCTTCATATTTAAATCCAAATTTTTATGAGCGTTTTTTAATTGACGTAGGAGCCCACTTGTCGAAAATTCTTTGCACATTATCTTTACATTGCACTTTTTTCAAATTGCAGATTTGCTAGATTTTTCTTTACAAAAATTCTGCCATGCTTTTGATCCATTTACAACTGACATGGTATAACCATAGACGTATAAGAGATGGACGTGCAACCTTTTGTTTTACATCAAAGAAACAGCCAAAATCAGCGAGCCATGCGCTTCACGATCTTCTCAAAATATTCCGCCATTAGCAAAAAATATTTTAAAAATGGCTGCCAATCAAAGATTTTTTAGTTAGGATTTAATAGAAGATTCTGTAAAGTGATTTTTGTAAAAAATGAATCATTTACGTGTTTGCAAATTATTGTTCAAATCAAACATAAATAAATAATGTTTAATACAAATGCAAAGATATAATAACAGATTTTTAATAATACTTAGACAAATACTTCCTGTTTTTAAGTAAACGTCAACAATAAAATTAACACATAGAGAGAGAGTTTAGTTAAAAAAATTATGGATTGGGTATTTTAGTCAAGTTTTATATTTTATATTTTAGTTAGTATTCTTACCATTCAGAGTCTAAATTCTTTGCTCATTTTGTTTCAACTTTTATATATTTTTTTGTTTTCTTCGACATGCCCCTTCGGGGATTTGTATATGAAAGTTACGTTCTAAATGTCTTTTAAACGTTTTTTATATGTCTTATAAACGTTCATTACGTAAGAATGTTTAAAAGACGTTTAAAAGACATTTAAAATACATTTAGAACGTAACTTTTGAAAACAAACGCCCGCTGGGGCCGCTATACTTTTTGCCTTGTTTAAGTATAAGTTATTTTAATACATAAAAAAACTCCGGGTTGAAACTAATTTAATCATCCTAACTGTTTAAGTAGTTAGAATTTGTTACTATAAAGGAAAATTTATCACTTTTTACAAATGACCTAACTAAAATTATTTAACTGGAAGAAGGAAAACTATTCTAAAAACTGAATTACAACAGATAATATTGCAAAAGAAGAATATAAGTCGATTAGTACTGTTTGTATAATATAATAGAAAAGTTTGTTTTAATTTCATTCTAACCTTTTAAAAGTGGCTACAAAATTGATTTAAGAAAACACAGAGAGTAAGTTTTTAAGTTTTACATGCTTAATCTCTATGCACAAAAAATATATATAATGAATATATACTTTTTAATGTATATATATATATATATATATATATATATATATATATATATATATATATATATATATATATATATATATATATATATATATATATATATATATATATATATCGATGGTTAAGAGCACAAAGGGAATACGTCCACTAACCATTGTTTTGAGAAATCTGAATTTGAAAGTTTGAAAACATACAATAATTCATGATATTTATTTATTGTCATGATTTTTAACCAAATGCATCTTCCGATTGGTCGACTGTTGAAGCCTAATATTAGTACCATAGTACCCTTATCACTTACTGAATGGCGCGCGCGCAATAACTCAAAACTGTAAAATGTTGGACATATTTTCTTTGTGCTCTTAACCATCAAGATATATATATATATATATATATATATATATATATATATATATATATATATATATATATATATATATATATATTGTATGATATTTTGTATTTGTAATAAAATACAAAAAACTCTTGTCCATATAAGAGTGCTCAATAATAAATAAATAGGATTTATTTATATTATTTAATAGAGCATTTGTTAATTTATAAAAATAAAGAAAACAACTTTTTATGGCATTCAAGCCACTCTATGGATATAGAGTGGCTTGATACACTATATTATTAACAAGGCACTGTTGATTTAAAAGGATTTAAAGATTTGTATGCCAAACATTAAATCAATCGTTAACTTTCATAACTGTCATATTGTGAAAAACATCCCCCCAGAATCAGATAAAAGTTGCAATTGTATTACTAAAAGCAAGTGCCCTTTAAATCAACAGTGCCTCGTTAATAATATAGTGTATCAAGCCACTCTATATCCAGGCACTCCAGACGGGAATGATAAAGTGTATTTTGGAGTAAGTGAAACTGCTTTTAAACTTAGATACGCTAATCATACAAAATCTTTTAACATCGAAAAATATAAAAACGATACTGAGTTGTCTAAGGAAGTATGGAAGTTAAAAGAAAATGGAGTAAACCCGACAATTAAATGAAAAATTTTGAAACGTTGTAGATCTTACAATCCTACAATAAAACGATGCAACTTATGTCTATACGAAAAGTATTTCATAATATCGTACACCTATGATAACTTACTAAATAAGAGGAATGAATTAGTATCTAAATGTAGACATAAAAGCAAATTCCTCCTTTCGAATTTCGATACGGGTGATTAGGCAGCCGTTTTTGGTTTTTTCTTATCTTTTTGTTTTTGTTTTGTTTTGACGACGGAGCACACTCCACCGTAACTTTATATTTTAACGGTTTTTTTTGTTTCTTGTTTTGTATTACATGGCTGATGATTGCCTTTAGGCATGAAACTATTAGTACTATAAAAAGTTGTTTTCTTTATTTTTATAAATTAATATATATATATATATATATATATATATATATATATATATATATATATATATATATATATATATATATATATATATATATATATATATATATATATATATATATATATATATGTATATATGTATATATGTATATATATATATATAAATATATATATATATATATATATATATATATATATATATGTATATATATATATATATATGTATATATATATATATATATGTATATATATATATATATATATATATATATATATTATATATTATATATTATATATGTATATCATATTTATATATATATATATATATATATATATATATATATATATATATATATATATATATATATATATATATAATATATATATATATATATATATATATTCATATTACTATTAAACTATTTAAAAAGTTTTTTGTTATTGACGATATGTTGCTTTTTGTTATTGATGATGATTAAATGAGAATTTCAAAAAAAAAAATGAGAATGACTCTCATTGTTTCATTAACTTGATCTGTACCTGTAATTTTTAGATGGAAAACCTTTTTTTAATATATAAACAATGCCTATGTAGTAGTAAAGCTTTAGCTGCTGGATTTCCATTTGCATTTATATTTACTGTTACATTAACTAATGCAGAATGTAAATATTTTGTTAGCTTAGTCTGTCATTTATGGACTGAAGACAAATTCTTACTGGAAATTAGTACAGTTGAGATTAGGGACAGCAAAAATCGTGGAAATTTTTAATCCCTGGATTTTTGCCATCCCGAAGTCTCTACTGACGAAAACCCAAATAGCAATAAAAAAAACATTATTTTAGGCTGCTGAACTGTAATTTTATCTAAATTAATTAATCTAAAATAAAAAAAAACTTTTTTTTATTTCAGTGCGTAATATTGAAGAAAAGCATAAAAAGATTTTTAAAAAACTCACTATTTATCTGAATTCCATCAATTATCTTAATAATCTTTTAACCACTTCTTCTCGTGATACAAACTGTTTCAATTTAAATATATTAATACTAATTTTATTATTAACTTTCATAACAAACAGTTTGTTTTCAAAACTAGGCTACAATTAACCAAATTACCATGGTGTATTTACACAAAAAGATTGTTTTAACAAGATCAAAAGGTTTTTTTTTATTGTATTACTTTTTAACTACTGAAATAACATCGTAATTGCATACTTGCTATTTGCTTTAAAAATTAGATTTTTATTATAAAATAACAAAAAAACAACATTTTACATATTTTTAATACGCAACTTTTACATAAAATTGTGATTTTTTTTTAAACGTTTACGAACAAAGTTAATGTTATAACAACTAAAGTACTACCCTGACTGTTCACGAATTTTTAACAACAGTATTATGAAAAACCATAATTTAGACTGACTAAACAAGTTCAATAAATCGTTAAAAAATCGACGTTTAGAATCATAACTATTTTCTTCTGTTTGAAACAATAAACTTGTAACAATAGAGACGCCTAATTATTGAGCATAATTCGCAAAAACAACAATAAGTTGCACGTCCATCTTTTATACGTTCATGGTAAAACAACTAAAATTAAAGTTACAAATATTTCTTACACATCACAATGGGCCAGGTGGTCAGGGCCGGGTTAAGTACTTCTTGGCCTCCTGGCACTTTAGACCTTCTGGCTCCTGTTGGCCTCCTAGTATTTAAATTTAACAGCGGTTTAAAATAAAAAAATCTTTACAATTATTGCGCTATAACTTTATAATGTATTTTCTTCTGTATTTAAATAAGCATCTTGCGCTATTTATTATTAAAAATACGCAGCGATTAGTATAGGTTTTAAAACACCTTTGTCTACATTTTAAGATTGCAAATGCAGATATCTTTTAGGTCAATGGAATCCAACAACCGGTTTTCTATTTAAACAATAGAAAGACGTTCCTGTCCTATTAATTAACGAATGAATAGAAGATTATATGTAATTTTAAAAATAGGAAATTATACAAGTCTGCTATTAATTAAATTTTTCCTTGTTTTTTTGCACTGCAGGTGATCGCCGATATATACATGCTGCGGAGATTCACAAGAAAACCAAAAATAGAATTCAATCTGGTACAGGCTTTCTTTCTTTTATTTAGATTACTCATTAGTTTGTCCGTGATCTCATTAACGTCGGGAATCATTTAAGATTGCCCAGAAAACACAGTAGTTTCCACACTGTTAATTTCAGACTTATCGAAGAATTTAGCAAAGAAAGCTTTATGCAGGAAATGCAGAAGTATCCTGTGCTTTACGATAAATTCAATGCTGAATTTAAGAACAATATTATGAAAAAAAATGCTTGGGCAGCCATTGGCGTTTTGTTTGGTTTAACTGACCAGGAATGTGAATCAAAATACAAAAATATAAGATCGGCTTATGGACGCTTTTTAAGGAAAAAAAAGAGTATACCTTCGGGCTCAGGACGAATTATCAGTAAAGAGTACGATTTTTTGCAGTGGTTAAATGTTTACATTGACCATAGAGACACAACAACTAATGTTGAAAATAAAGCAACAACCACAGAATTAACAACAGAATTGCCTTTGTCTTGTATAGATAGTAATGATAGTATGAACTATGACGAAGATGTTAGTAATAAAGTAGAATTAGAAAATGAAAATTTAAGCGAAAATACAAATAATTCAAATACATTCAGTAATCAACGAAAAGCATTAAGTGAAATAAAATTTCCTATAAATATAAGAAAAAAAACATTGAAAAGATCTCTACCTGATGAAAATTCAAAAATACAAGATGCAATAATTAGTACGATGAACAATATTAATGCAACACTAGCAGTTAGTACACATGAAGAAAACGACGATATAATGATACATTTTTGTAAATCTATTTGTGCTACAATCAAAAGACTACCTCCTAAAACTCAAGCAGTTGTTAAAATAAACATACAGCAATATTTAGCTGCTCTAGAATTTCCAGATATTGTTGACTGATATAAAATTTGTTTGTTTGTTTTTTAACATATATTTAAGAAATTTAATATTATGTTACGCATAGTTTAAACCATTCTTCAATATTATATAATAATACAGTTATAAGATTATTTTTTTCATTGTTCCAAAAGTATTCTATTTCCTGCAAGATCGTATCCAAAACTAGTTACATAATTAGTTACATAGTCATGTTGCCACGACAAGGATCCACTTGGATGATTAAAATACTCTGTTAGCGTTAATCTTACAGTGTTCGCATCTGTTGTGTATCGATTGCTTATACATCGAGGTAAAATATGTAAAGCATTACCTTCAACTGTTATTTTGCGCCACTCTCCAGGAATAACTTTACCAGAATTTGTTTCAAAATCAACAAATCCAGATGGTACATAGTTAATGCCATCATTGATCCTTAAATAATTATGTAAACAAATTGCAGCTTTTATAATGTTTTCAATATTTTCTGGGTTAGCTTTTATTGGACGCCTAAATACTCTCCATTTAGCTACCATAATTCCAAATATGTTTTCAATTGTTCGTCTAGTCCTAGATAATCGATAGTCCTAGATAATCGATAATTGTCAAATTTTTACCAGAAAAAGCCTTCATTAATCATGATTTCAGTGCAAAAATATCATCACCAACCAGAACTCGTGGTACTTGTGTGCCATTTGATAGCATTCGGTTTTTAGGAAGTTTGAATAAGTTGTTTTTGAAAGCTTTACCCATTTTACTTTCATTGAATATTGAAGCATCGTTATCTCTGCCATAGCTACCTATATCAACCAAAGTAAAACAAAATTTTGCATCACATATTGCTAGCAAAACCATACTGTGAAAGTTTTTATAGTTGTAATATGCTGATCCACTCAAACTAGGAGCTTCTATACATACATGTTTACCATCAATGGCTCCAATACAATTAGGAAAGTTCCATTCATTTTCAAATTGGTTTGCCAATTCTTCCCACTCATTTAATGTACTTGGTGCCTTTAAATAACATGGTTTTAACACATCCCAAATAGCCTTTGTTGTTTCATTTATAATGTTGCATACTGTTGTTCTGCCCAGTCTAAAATATAAAGCTTGTGTTAGTTGTGAATCTCCAGTAGCCAGTTATCTCAGTGTCACAGTCAATCCTTCTGAGGGTGATATTGTTTGACGACTTCGGCATTGCTTTTTTGTAATGCTAGGGGCAACCATGGACAACAAGTGTTCATACCTTTCAGGTGATATACTGTAAAAACGAGAAAAAAATTCTCTGTCATGAAGTCGTAACTCAGGAATAAGTGTGTTAAATGCTCCTTTTTTATAACGGTTTTTAAACTAGGAGCGAATCCAAAATTTATGTTTTCTTTTTTTTTTTACTCTGCAATGTTCTAAGAGCTAGTAAAGTATTGCAAAGTGCAAGCTGGCAGTTCAGGAGATCATATTTTTTATTCCTTGCCATTGGTCTAAAATCAATTAATTTTTATTATTAATTTTTTTTTTTTAATTTTTTATATATAGAAATTAACTACAAATTTTGAACTTTTAAAATGGCTGCGATTCTTAACTACAGAGAACATTTTGTACAACAACCGTACTTTTGTTCTTTATTTCTTATAAATTGATGTTGTAGGCTTATTTTTTTATACAGATTAGTATATAAATACTTAAATTTCATAAGAGAATCGATAAATAGAGATTAAAAGAATCATAGCGTGATAAAACTTAAATTTTATAATATCATTATTTATTGATATCCAAGATTTGTTTATTTACTTGAAATCAATTTTCTAGAAATCTAACCGTAGGAATTCATCAAAAATTTGTTTAAACATTAAATACATATGTTCAATCTTGAAAGTATTTTTCTAGTAAATGCTTCAACTTTTTTTTGATGCACAATTATACTTTGAATCTAAGTAAATTTTTTATATATATATAACTATACACTGATTTGATATGCTCTAATATAATAAAGTGTATGTGATTGTTATTATTACATGTATATAATATTAAATATAATATATTATTATTATTTTTATTATTATTATTATAGTTACATACACTTTATTATATTAGGACATATAAAGTTAGCAGGCAGTTATAACTCAATTTTATATATATAAATATGTATGTATGTGTGTGTGTGTGTGTGTGTGCGTGTGTGAAATTATACTGTGAAAATCTCAACTAAATACTAGATAAATAAATTAGTGTATATTAATCACATTAGGGCTCTGCAAATTGGTTTAATAGATATGATTCAAGTTTTTTTGAATCAATTTTTACTTTCAAGTGTTTGCAAGTTTTTTAGATATGAAACATGAAGATGCTATTGAAGAGTTTATCTTTCATCAAGTGACCAGAGTAAGATTTCCTTAAATTGCTAATTCGTTAGGAAATTTAAAAATGCCATTTGCTTATTTATTTATGATAAATATTATTTTATTTAGATAGCTCTATTATAATTTTCATTGTATATACCTGCGGTTAAGTATCAATAGATTCAAAAAGTAATCGACTTTTATTGTTGATTAATTTTTTATTCCTTGACACATGAAAACTTGGTACAAAGATTCTGAAAAATAGAGAAATCAGTTAAGTATATGAATCCATCAACAATTTTTGACTTCAAAGCTCAATAGGCTGCAAAGAAAAATAGCTTTACGTTCTTGGTAAGTAAATTTTTAAAATTACCTTAATTTTGTAATATTGTAATTGTAAACAAAAAAACAATTGTCCACTGATTGGACAATTGTTTTTTTTTTTACAATTACAATATTCTGTCGGTTTTTTTATTTAGGATTTCTCTTTTTAAGTTTAATTATTTTTTCCATATTTTTTGTGCAACTAGCTAATTTGTTTAGAGGAATTGAGTATGTTTTCATTAGAGGAGTTTTGGTTTACCCGGTTATTAATTGTGGGCCGGTATTAAATCCTGGGCCCTGCTTTGTTTCTGATCTACATAAACGATCTTCCTGACAACCTTTCTAAAGTAGCTCTTTTTGCTGATGACAGCAAAAAGAGCTACTTTAGAAAGGTTGTCAAAAGTTGAGTCATCAGCAAAAAGAGCTACTTTATCTAAAGTAGCTCTTTTTGCTGATGACTCAACTTTATACTCCTGTCTTGACAAAAAGTCTTCTCTTTTCGATCGCCTAGAACAAGCAGCTGATCTTGAATCCGATCTCACTTCAGTAATAGATTGAGGTTCACAGTGGCTTGTGAATTTCAACTCTAAATAAACCCAGTTGCTTACTGCAAACAACTATCGTAATATGGTCAACATTCCTATATTAATGAATGGTAATCCTCTTACTGAGTCCTCCTGTTTACGTCTTCTTGGATTATCGCTTACTACTGACCTTTCATGGAAACCATATATACAATCAATTGCTAAATTAGCTTCTGCTAAGGTTGCTTCTCTTTATCGTGCTCGCCATTTCCTTACTTCTGATTCCATTCTCTACCTCTACAAATCTCTTATTTGTCCCTGTATGGAATACTGTTGTCATATTTGGGCTGGTTCTTCTAACGATTCACTTTCTCTTCTTGACAAGGTCCAAAAATGCATTGTAAATGTTGTTGGACCTGGACTATCTGCTAAGCTTGAACCTCTTTCCTATCGTCGTAAAGTTGCATCTCTTTCTCTTTTCTACAAATACTATCATGGTCACTGCTCAAAGGAGTTATCATCTCTAGTTCCATCAACTAAAATTCATTCTCGTTTTACTCGTCATTCAGCTAAGTCTCATTGGTTTACTGTATCTGTCCCTGCATGCTCTGAAAACTTTTATTCATCTAGTTTTTTTCCCCGCACTTCAATCCTTTGGAACTCTCTCCCATCTTCATGTTTTCCTGACTCATACAACCTTTATTTTTTCAAGTCTTCTGTCAACCGTTTCCTTGCTCTATAACTCTGTTCTTTTTTCTTCTAGTAACTCCCAACTTAATAGTGGTTGCTTGCAGCCTTGTTGGGAGTGAATGCAAATAAAAAAAAAAAAAAATTAAAATTTGAATTTGTTTTAGAATTTAGGGTGAATGGTTTTAATTAATATTAATATACAGTATACTGCATATATTTTAGATAAAACAATTGAATTTGCTAAAAGCCACACAGTTATTCCGGAAGAGAGAATCTGTATAATAGAACATTGCAGAAAAATCTTACTTTGTTTTAATAAGGAAACTTAAAAAATAAGGAAAAAGAAAAACATACATGACTGCATTGATGTAACAACCCAGCAAACATTTGGTCTAAGATAGGCATTTTTAATACGCCTAAAAGAGGTCTTTTTTAGACAAAATGTTAGCTGGGAATGGGCAGTTATGATGGAGCAGATATTTGTAAATTTGTTGGATACTATATTTTAGATTAATAAGTAAAATAATCAGTAATGATTTAGGTCTTTATCATGATGATAGTTTAATAGTAATGCCAGGGTTGAGGAGTTAGAGTTGCAACATTTTTAGCGGAGTCAGAACCAATAAACAAAACCTCTCTGTATTGCGTGTGCTTGTACAAAATATTTAACCTTCAAAGAATTTTTCATATATTTTTCAAAAAATATTTTTTTTAATTATTGCGTAATATTTTTTAGAAAAAATTCAACCAATTTTTCAATAATTTTGCTTTGAAGTAGGAGTCGTACTGAAAATTTCAACAATTTTTTTTTTTTACGACTCCACAACCCTGTAGCAATGCGTAAAAAATCTGGTCCACAGCTTGATAAAATTAAAAAAGATAATATAAAAATTTTTAATTTTAGCTTGAATGTGAATTTTCTAATACATCACAATTAACCTACCTAAAAATTTATGTGAGCCTGGTAAAAAACAAAATGATGAATTATTGTATATTAATATTAACTCAAAGGATGAATTATTGTATATTAATATTAACTAATATTACCCAAAATTTGACCCTGAAAAAAAAAATACCAAAAAGGGAAAGAGGATTAGAAATGTAATTTGGTTTATAGCAAAAATGTTTCCACTAACATAGGAAAAGTGTTTTTAAAATTTGTTGATAAGCTTTTCCTGCCCTCTAATAAATTACATAAAATTTTTAATCGAAAAAGAATTTAAGTTAGATACAGTTGCACAAAAAGTTTTTAAAGAATTATAAAAGGTCACAATAATGCTTTGTTAATCATAAGAGAAATCCTAAATGAAAAAAAGACAGAAAACTCTAATTTGAAACAAAAAACCAATTGTCCAATGAATGGAAATTGTTTATCAAAAAACGTTGTATATAAATGTGTTGTTTTCTCTAAGAATGTACCTGATAAGCAATATATTAGCTCAACAGAGAGTGAATAGAAAAAATGTTTTGCCAATCGTAAGCAATCCATTTAAAATAAAAAGTATTCAAAAAACACCATGCTGTCAAAATACATATGTAAATTAAACAATAAAAATATTGATGATTTTATACTAAATTGGTTCATCCTTAAACCAGCACCTGCATATATAAGTATTTCAAAAATTAAGGTAATTTTAAAAATTTACTTACCAAGAACCTAAAGATATTTTTCTTTGTAGCCTATTGAGCTTTGTAGTCAAAAATAGTTGATCGAATTGTATACATAGTTGATTTCTCTATTTTTCAAAATCTTTGTACCAAGTTTTCAAATTTAAGTGTCAAAGAATCAAAAATCAATCAACAATAAAAGTTGATTATTTTTTGAATTTATTGACACTTAACCACAGGTATATACAATGAAAATCATAATAAAGCTATCTAAATAAAATAATTTATTATTAGTAAATAAGCATTTATGAGTGGAAATTGTTTATCAAAAAACCTGGTATAAATTGTGCTATGTAACTCCATCCAAAAGCATACAACCTTAATATTAAAACTGTGTCTGGCAACAGTACATACTTACACGTATGTGTAAGTACCTTTTTATACAGTAAGTAATACATTATAACAATATGTTAAGTATGGACATATCTTATACATATAATATTGTATCTTATATATTTTTTCTATTTATAGTGATTTTGGTTGTTGCTTCAACTTTTTATGATATAAAATATATTTCTGCTCTTACAACTATGCCCTAAATATTAATGTTTATTTTTCTTTTTAATTATATATTACGATTATAAAAAGAAAAAAAAAAACACACTCTATTATATCAGGGTATAGTGATATATGACCTTTTTCCTAATATAATTAAGTGTACCTAATTCCTTCTTATGCATATGAGCAGAAGTATATTTTTTTATAGAAAAAAAATTGAAGCAACGACCAAAAGAACACCATATATAAAAGAAACATCTTCAAATTCCTACGGTTAGAAGTTGAGTAAATTGATTTTGAAAAAATAAACAAATTACTGACTCATTCTAAAATAGCATTCAAGAAAACTGAAGGTTTATCACGCTAAGATCATTTTCAGCTTGTTTAACTTTTTTAATTTTGAAACTAAGTTATCAATCTACTGAATTACTTTAATTATAAAATAAAAATAGAAAGTTTTCATTAACAAACCAACAACAAAAAGATTGTCATATAAAATGTTCGATGTAGTCAAGGACCGCAGCCATTTTAAAAGTTCTAAACTTTTTAAAATTAATTGACGCATGCGTACCTAAACAGCGCATTTTCCTAATATTAAAACAACCGTGAGGTACAGTTTTTCAACCATTCCTATATCGACTGTAATTTCTGTTAACTTTGTTGAACCTCTCCATGATTTTGTTCCAAATGATTAATAAAATAGCTGTCTCAAGTTGTTTCCTCTGCTCCATTTTTTTTCTTATATTAATAATATAATAAAATATGTTAAAATATAATATAATAAA